TGTGTTTGGGGAAGACTATTATAGGAAACGGAAGGATGGGGGGAAAAATTTTCCACTTCCTTTCCTTTCCCTTATTTACCCCCAATTTAGGGATAAAATTTCAGTTCAATATTCCCTCTTATTCCCCTCTTCTATCATTTTAAATTGAACTTCCAAACAAACATAAACTAAAATTTTCCTTGTCCTTTTCTTCTTTACTCTTCATCCGAACAGGCCATAAGAGAAGATGGATAGGAGGAGGAAGAGGGTAAAGGGTGTCAAGCGGGTAAGTGAGAGGGATTCAGATGCTCTCCTAATGAAAAACTCATAATATCTCCTAATAAGGAGATCCTACTCTTTCATTTTTATCATGGCCTTTCATTTTCCCACTCATCCTTGTGGACCCCCTCCCAACTTTTCACAATTCTTCGTTAGGAAATATTAGGATGAGGAGAGGATCCCAATTCAAGTGAGAGATGGTAGGTGGTGATGGAGCAGGGAATCTGGGTGTACATTCAGTGGAGCCAAGGATAATGGATTATGTGATTTATTAACCAAGTCATATAAAAACTACATCGAAGAAATTTTCAATATAGACCCACTCTCACATTTTATCACAAAAATTGATCTTATCTCTTTTTTATTAGCGAAATCGACCCAGTTTCTGTCGCGTCAGCTTCATGGCCAGAAACTAGGTTAATTTCTAAAAAAACACTGGCTTAATTAATCGGGGTTGATAACCCTGCCTAATTAGCAAAAAATTGGTGGGGTTGCAAAACTCAACCAAAATTGTCAGGTTTGGCAACCCCGACAATTTTTTGCTAATTTCGAGCTCCAAATAGTCGGGGTTGGCCAATTTCGAGCTCCAATTGGCGGTCCTCAAATAGTAGGAGTTGGCAACCCCGACTATTTAGTGGAGACTTTTGAAATTAGTCATCCAAATAGTCGGGGTTAGCAACCTTGACCATTTTGGTTGGCAACCTCTTACAGCTGCTTCTAATTAGTCGGGGTTGCCAACTCCAACTAATTAGAAGTTCATTTTTTTAAACAACCAGGTTCTCATCGTGATGCTGACGTCGCCAGAAACTGGGTCGACTTCACTAAATAAAAATGAAATGGGTTAAATTTTGGGAATAAATTAAGGAATGTGACTGTTTTGAAAATTTCTCCAAACTGCATCTATTTTTGAGGGAAATATAGTATCATCTATTAACAACTAGTGTGCGCCCCGGTGCGAAGCATGACATTCTCTTTTTTTATCACTACAGTAATCCCTTTTTTTTAATTGCTACAATATTTTTAAATACCACAGTAATGTTTTTTAAAAATGCTATAATAATAATTTTTTAAAATGCTACAATATCCCACCTCTGCCATAGTAATATATTTTTAAAATGTCATAGTAATATATTTTAACAATGCTATAGTATCTCGCCTATGCTGCAGTAATATTTCTTTGAAAATGTCACAACTGTGAACGTGGGGGGGGGGGGGGGTCCACCACGTGAATGAAGGCGTGGGAGGAAAGCTGGTAAACCGCGTGAAGGAATATCGAACTTGGAACCTGGACAAAGCCCACCCGATTTTTTTTTATTTTAGAGACCTATAAATGTGCCCAGGGTTTCGTGGAGTAGGTTAGCAAGGAGATTTTGTTTTTTTATTACGGATGCAGGAGGGCAGGGATTTGTTGGCGGCAGAGTGCAAAGGAGATTTGTGAGAATTCTTTTGTGGCTGGGGGGGGAAAAATGAGTTTTGTGTAGCTGTTCTAGGGTTTTGTGCTCCTATTTTGTAGAGAGATATTGTGAGAGATTTGAGAGTTTGTTTGAGGGTTTAGGTTGTGAGTGATTATAAACCCTAGTTGTATTCTCTCCCTCTATTAGTAGATCTCCCCCCTCCTTGCCCCGTGGACGTAGACAATTTACCGAACCACGTAAAATTGGTTGTATCGTTTTTGTGTGATTTGTAATAGTTTTTTAGGATCCCTCGACAGGTCAGTCCTAGAACTAATGAGAGGAAGAGCCGATATATTTCTTTGTTAAGATATTCGCTTCAGATTCTTGTTTCCTTAGTGAGACGGGAATTCTTATTACGACCTGACTCTCTTGTTGTGCTGCCGAAGTGCTGCCGAAATTTTCGCTGCGCGCAACAAGTGGTATCAGAGCCCAGATTGCAGATCTAGGGTTTTGGAGTTTGGTGGAGGAAGATTTTTTTGTGTGAAACTTGGTTCTTGGAGTTCTAGGCTTCGGTGGAGATAGCATTAGGAGTTGCCGTTGGAGATTTCGCTTTCCTCATGTGGATAGGAAATCTATTTGAAATCCGATCTAGGGTTCAGTTGGGTGGTTCCTAATTTCTATCAAATTTATTCTTTCTCTACAATTTAGAGTTAGTTTGCAGTGGGAGAAGAAGGTGAAAGCAGCAAGTCGATGGCGAGTATAATACAAGTTGGTTTTCAGAACACTAAGATTAGTGTGGTGAAGTATGACGGTAAAATCAACTTTGGTTTGTGGATGAGCGACGTACAGGATGCGCTCAATGCTCAGAATTTGGAAGAGACCATCATGGTCCACGAGAGGCCACCTAAATATGAAGAGACAGTATGGGAGAAGATGAATAGGAACGGTTGTGGGGTGATCAGGTCCTGTTTGGAACAGGAGCTGAAATATGATGTGATTGGAGTGACGTCTGCAATGAAGATGTGGGAAATTCTCAACAATAAGTATCTCACAAAAAGTATTGAGAACAGGTTGCACTTACTGCGAAGACTCTTCAGATTTCAGATATCCAGAGGCACATCGCTAGCGGCTCATGTGAACAACTACACTAAGTCGTTGTCGGACTTGGCGAATGTTGATGAGAAGATATCGGATGAGTACAAGGCGATTATTTTATTGGGCTCCTTACCGAATGAGGAGTATGATACCTTCGTACTCACTTTGTTGAACGGGAGATCTTCTATCAGCTATAGTGAAGTGACTAATGCATTGACCAATTATGATTTGAGGAGGAAGGACAAGGAGACTTCCCGCGCTAGCACTTCAGGCGAGGCCTTGTCGACGAGAGGTAGAAGCCCATATCCGAAAGGTGGTAATAGAGGAAGGTCAAAGTCAAGAAGCCGTCACTAATTAGCAAAGAACAAATATGCATTCTGCAAAGAGCAGAGACATTGGACGAGAGACTGCCCAAAGCTCAAGGAGAAAGAGAATGGCAAGAAAAAGGGCCCGAAGATCAATGAGGTGAATATTACAAAAGGCGATGATTCCGATGATTCGTGCTTTTCTCTACTGATTACTCCGGAGGTGAACCATGTGGATGCATCAGATTGGATGCTTGATTCCGACGCTACCTATCATGTGACCCCTAGGCGAGATTGGTTTGCATCTTTTGAGAAGCTCGATGGGGGAGTTGTTGTCATGGGAAATGATCAATCCTGTGGTATTTGTGGGATAGGTACTGTGCGGATCCGGATGCATGATGGAGTAGTCCGTGAATTGAAGGAGGTGAGATTCGTTCCTCAGCTGAAGAAGAATCTTATTTTAGTCGGAGCTTTGGAGGCGAAGGGATTCAAGGTGACTTTCGAAAACGCTGTAGCGAAGGTTACTAAGGGATCATTGGTGGTGATGAAGGGAGTCCGCAATCGAAATTTATATTATCTGAAGGGAAGCACTAAGATTAGCCAGGTTGCTTCGGCTATTTCAGAAGTGGACATGAGTAGACTTTGGCACTATAGGTTGGGGCACACATGTGAAAAGTCACTGCATGCATTATGCAAGCAGGGGCTATTGAAGGGAGCTAAGAGTAAAAAGATTGAGTTCTATGAGCACTGTGTTCTTGGCAAAAAGACGAAGGTGAAGTTCGGGACTGCCATTCATTAGACGAGGGGCATCCTGGACTACGTGCACACAGACGTTTGGGGTCCCACCAAGACTGCATCACTTAGTGGTCGACATTGGTTCGTCACGTTCGTTGATGACTATTCTAGGTGATGTTGGGTGTATACGATGATGAAGAAGAGTGAAGTCTTAGATTTGTTTGTAGAGTGGAAAAAAAGATTAGAACTACAGACTGGGAGAAAAAGATCAAGACGTTGTGATCCGACAACGATGGTGAATATACTTCAGACCCCTTTCAGAAGTTATGTTGAGAAGAGGGCATAGAGAGATACTTCAAGGTTAGTCATACACCGCAGCAGAATGGGGTAGCAGAGAGACTAAATCGGTCTTTACTGGAGAAGATCTGATGCTTATTGTCATAGAGTGGTTTAGAAAAGATCTTTTGGGCTGAGACACTTACATATGCGAGCCACCTCATTAATAGGCTAATTTCATCTGCGATTGAGGGAAAAACCCCTATGGAGAAGTGGTCGGGAGAGCCAGCACGAGATTATGACCAGTTCAAGGCATTCGGGTGCCCTGCATTTTATCATGTGAGAACTGATAAGTTGGAACCTCGAGCTAGGAAGGCCATATTTGTAGGATTCAAGCGTGGTGTCAAGGGATACAAGCTTTGGGATCCAGTTGATAAGAAGATTGTGCTGAGTAGGGACGTCACGTTTGATGAGGCTTCTATCTTGAAGCTTCCCAGCTCTCATCAGGTGGAGAGCGACCCGACGGAAGAGATATCGCAGGTGGTGGAGATCGATGCAGCTCCACATTGTCCAGATGGTACAGTATCCATTAGATTGCCGACTGAGGTGACGCCAGGCGAGCACGACGATGGCACGGGAGATACGAGTACTGATGT